CCGGTACTATGTATATATGCATTTGCTATATTTGGTACTATGTATATATGCATTTGCCATGTTTGGTACTATGTATATATGCATTTGCCATGTGTGGTAAAATATGAGGATGATATTTTTAAAATGGCAGCTAACAGCACCATTTCCATGAAAATTCTTTGAATTAGTGCTTTTAGATACTAGGCATTACTAAGATTATCAATAGACATGTTAATATTCCCAGCAAGTGTGTAGATATTGGAATTGTGCGGCTTTAACAAAGTGACACATTTCCAATTTGTAGGAATCCCCTGAATCACCGGAGGCTGGTGAAGCAGCACCTATTGAGGTACAGTGCTCTATTTTTTCTGTGAATTGTTTATTTCATTTTATTTGACTTTTATTGGTGATGCTTGACATCCGACACCTGTGTACTGATGAGGAAGATTTTATTACAGGAACCTGAACCTGAGCCGGAAGAGGAAGAGCAACAACTGACTGAATCCTGGGAAGTTGTTGAAGATGCTGAGGTAATCAGCTGTTGGATATTTCAAACTTACAAAGTTTGCTCACTATCAATATTGCTTGAGCTTTATTACTGCTATATGAATGAATGAATGAATGAATGAGGTTTATTTCACGATAAACATATACACATATAATAATATTAAAATAAATGTGATATATAAACAGATGAGTAAATAAGTCTATAATTTGAATTTTAGATGTATATAAAGCAAAATATTCATGTATATTGATTATATTTTCAAATTTATCTTTTATACACTGCCTGTTCTTTGTTAGACTTTCAAATGTTACTTTTCCCTTCCACTCTTTAATTAGGAACCACGTGATGAAGCCCTTGGTGCAATGGCTGCTCCTGACGAGGTATGATAACATATTTATGTTATCAAAATTTGTGTGAATTTTGTACGCTCATATTATTTTGTAGATTGTGGGTATTATATTTTGTCTAACCATCCTTTCGGGCAGGATGAAGAACAAGAGGAAGAAGATGAGGAGGAATGGGAAATAGTTGATGCTGAAGCTGCCGAGGTAATACAAGTCAGTCCTATTCAAGTGCTTTATTTCATCAACTCTCAATCTTTTTTAAAATATTTTCTCAGACAATTAGTAAATATTATTTGTTAGATGGAAAAGCTTTCTATTTTATTTTTAGAAACCAGAGACAAGTAATTGTAATATTTTTCCTTATTGATAATTCTACAAATTAAAAAAAAAGGAGGCAAGGTGCTAATAGTTTAACTATAATTTTATGTTTTTCCCTCTGTGTTCTTTCTAGGAGTTTAATGAAGAAATTATGGAAAAGATGGAAGAGGTATTGCACAATTAATTCATTGACTTTATAACGTTTATTATTGATCCTGTCCTTGTTTTAATTAATAACTATTCCTCTTAATCTGTATTGTAGGAGACACCAGAAAAGGAAAAAGTTGTTAGTTTTGAAAGTCAGTATCTTCATGAAAAAACACAGGTACTCCTTGATTGTTGACTTCTCAAATTTCAGTATATCTTGTCTAATTGTTTGCGGACAGAAGTAACTTCATTATACTCTCTTTTCTTTCATGCCAGCATCAGGAAATTGTTATAACTGAAACTTTCCATCAGGTACATCCATTATGTTTGACTCTTCATTTCCATGCGTTTTAATAAATTTGTTTTCATATTTAAAAATATTTTCTCTCTCTCACAATCATTGTCACCTCCTTCCTTCAGGATTACAAAGATGAGAAAGACATATCAGAGCCTGACATTACAGTGTCTGAGGTACTGGTCTTGCATCAATATATGTTGTTTGTTTCCAGCATGCATGTTGTGTCAAAATTGTCTATAGTGTTAGTTATTATATTATTCATTTATTTTTTAGTTATTTTCAATATTACAGTGAAATCAGTGCAGTTCAACAATTGGAAAGTGTCAGCCTTTGCTTTTTTTAAATTAAATAGCCAAAATAAACATGAAGCATACATCAAAAGATAAAACACATTCTCTCAAAGTCGCAGACATTGTAGCTGATGATTATTATCAAACTTTGTTGTCGTTGTTTATACCGACTGGTGTTGATAAACAAGTGCCACCAGTTTGACAACAGATGTGTATAAACTTCCTACTGTATATGTCAAGTACTTTATCTTGTTCATTTTTACCCTTAATCAACTTTTGATTATTATATTTTTTTACCAGGCAGCATCAATTTTTCGACATTAATAACAGCCTTATATTATGTGCCTAATTGAGTCGGGACTGAAGTGTTTTGTGCATCACATAACCAGAAATAATTTTATTCTGTCTATACAGGAGGCAACCCCAGAAAAAGAAGAGGCGTCAGAAGATTTCCTGGGACCTTCTGAGGTATATCGACATCCTCACTTGTGCATGTCATGTTGTATTGTTCTATTTACTACCTAACCCTATTATTTACACTCTAGCTGCACTATTATAGAAATGTGTCACTTTTTGTATCATTTTATTTTGTAGCCGTTTTGTGTTCCCTTTTTCAGCTCGAATTTTCCTATGTCAATAACTAATATGTCACTTCCATGACCCCTGAAGATCACGCATCCTGGTACTTTTATGACCCCTAAAGGTCACGCATCCTGGTACTTTTATGACCCCTAAAGGTCACATATCCTGGTACTTTTATGACCCCTAAAGGTCACACATCCTGGTACATTTATGACCCCTAAAGGTCACACATCCTGGTACTTTCATTAGTATAAAAATTAATATTTTGGGCACAGTTTCCTAGATATGATTATTTGTTTGAGTAAGCAAAAATGTACATTAAAATGCTCCAATTGTGTGTGATGCTTACATACCAACAAAAGTACCAGGAATTGTGACATGAACGTGTGGCCTATTATTGGCTTTTGTTATTTTATTAAGATTTGTTGATATAGATGTTTCTTATTTTATAATTTCATTAATCCGAATGCATTTACTCCTGCCATTGTTTGTCTTTTAGGATTTTCACAAATGTTTTGTTGTTGATTTTTATTTACACTTTTTCGCACATAACTGAATTCACCCAGTTATAGAGTCATGGAAATTGTTATCGTTAATGTTTAGGTTCCTGTTGAGATAGCAGTGAGCAAAGAAAGTCCAACTACACCAGAGGCGTATTCTCAGGTGAGCCTAGTTACTTGCACAAGATAGAGCTATAGTCATATTTTAGCTAAGGTGATGGCCATTTGATTTTATATGTCTCTGTGGCAAGGAAATTGAATCCATGAGTTTGTTTAATTTCGCATGTACACATGTTTCTTCTAAGCCATTAGGATGTGCCACTGACGCACTGCAATTTGCTATGAAGCAACTAGCTTGGTTAATTCCCTCACATATGATTAATGCAAAAAAAAATTGATTAATCTTGCAAAACATTATAGTTACAGAATTTGAAATTTAGAAAACTTTATAAACCAAATAAATGTAAAACAAATCAGGGACCACAACATTTCGCACTTCAAGTCATATCCACAGTCAAATACTTTTTATTTTTGAAGACACCCCCCCCTTCCCCCAGCAGCAATCAATTTGACACAAACTTACTCTTTTTAGAGGACACAGTGATGATTAGAGTATTATAAACTTGTATACATACAGTTGAGTTAATATTTAGTTAGTATTCATAGTTCATTAATATATAAATGGATTTGTTTGCCTAGGGCATAGCAGAGATAGCAATTGGTCCAGTCCCCACTTCCAGGGAGCCTGATGAATATTGTCCCGAGGTAGGAAGTTCAGATATTCTAAATAGTTGGTGTGTTTTGTCTTTATGGTATTGTTTTGTTCAAGTGTATACTCAATAGTGTTTACATTTTAATAACACTGTATGAATAATGCAAATTTTTTTCCTGCTGGATATAGGTTAAATCAACATCTGACCAAGCATTTGCAGAACCTGTCGCCATTGAATCTCTCCCTCTTTCAGATCAAAGTCATATTTTATGTACAGACAATATTGTTAGAATAGTTGAAAGTGTAGCTGAAACAAAAATAAGTGAGATTAGTAGGGAATATAGGGTTGATATTTCATCTTATACTGAGCCATCAATAGATTGGCCAGAAGACACTGAAGCCGAACAACATCGTGAATCTGGGGCTGAGCTTCCAGCACAACAAGAACCAGAAGAAGCTACCGAGTTTGATGCAGAGCAACAGCCTGACATACAAAGCCTTCCTGAATGCATAGAAGATGACCATATTTTAAGAGAACTTGAAGAACAATCTGAAGAAGATGAAATTGATCTTGTGAATAAAGAAATGCAGTACGTACAAAATGAAATAAAACTGGTGTCACTCACTCCGCATCAACATGAAATAGAAGCTCAACCACCAACAGAGCCAGACGTAGTTGAGACAACAGTTCTACCTTCTGAGATTGAAGCTGATCAAACGTATGAAATAGAGGTTGAACATCCAACAGAACTAGAGGAAGGCGAATCTCTAAGACAACCACATAATATTTCACTTGTTGAACCTACAGAGATTGAGGTAGAACAACACCCTGGAATAGAAGCCCAGGCACTAACGGAAGCAGGGCAATTTGATACTCCACTTCACCAGGAACCTGAGGAGATTCTACCCAAGGAACCTACCAATATTGAAGTTGAGCCTGAAGCAGAGATTGAACCTCTTGGAGAAATAGACAAGGGTGAATCTATGAAAGAACTAGACATTCCATCCATTGAACCAACTAAATTTGAAGCTGAACAGCAGCCTGAAGCACAGGTTGATGCTCTTTCAGAACCAGATGGGGATGAATCTGTGAAAGAACCAGATGATGTTCCACCCATTGAACTTCTTGATATTGAAGCCGAACAAACGCCTGAAGTAGAGGTTGAACCTCCTGCACAGCCAGATAAGACTGAAGCTCCAAACGAACCAGAGGATGTTCCACTAATCCTATCTTCTGAAATTAAAGCTGATCAACCATGTGAAATAGAGATTGAGCTGCCTGCTGAACCGATGGAAGGTGATTCTGTGGAAGAAACAGAAATTATTCCACCCATTGAACATACTGAGGTTGAAGTTGAACAGCAGCCTGAAACAGAGGTTGAACCACCTGTAGAACAAGATGAGGATGAATGTGTGAAAGAACCAGAAGATATTCCAACCATTGAACCAACTGAGGTTGAAGCTGAACAGCACCATGAAGCAGAGGTTGAACCTCCTGAACAACCAGATGAGGGTGAATCTCTGAAAGAACCAGAAGATATTTCACCCATTGAACCTACTGAGGTTGAAGCTGCACAGCAGCTTGAAACAGAGGCTGAACCTTCTACAGAACCAGTGGAAGGTGAATCTCTTAAAGAACTAGAAATTGTTACGCCCATTGAACATACTGAGATTGAAGCTGAACTACTGCCTGAAACTGAGGTTGAAGCTTCTGCACAACCAGATGAGACTGAAGCTCCAAAAGAACCAGAGGATGTTCCACTCATTGAACTAACTGAGATTCAAGCTGAACAGCAGTCTGAGGTGAAGGTTGGGCCTTTTGCTGAACCAGTGGAAGGTGAATCTCCAACGAAACAAGATGTTCCATTCATTGAGCCTGCTGAGATTGAAACTGAACAACATCCTGAAGACGAGATTGAACCTCCTGAAGAACCAGATGAGGGTGAATCTTTGAAAGAACCAGAGGATGTACCATCCTTTGAACCAACTAAAATTGAAGCTGAACAGCAGGTTGAAACGGAGAGTAAACATCCTGTACAACCAAATGAGAGTGAATCTGAGAAAGAACCAGAAGATGTTCTTTCCATTGAACCATCTGAGGTTGAAGCTGAACAGCAGCCTGAAACAGAGGTTGAACCACCTGTAGAACAAAATGAGGATGAATCTGTGAAGGAACCAGAAGATGTTCCAATAATTAAACCTACTGAGATTGAAGCTGAACAAAGGCCTGAGGCTGCAGATGAGGGCGAATCTGCGAAAGAACCAGAAGATGGTTCTTTAATTGAACCAACTGAGGTTGAAGCTGAACAGCAGCTTGAAATAGAGGTTGAACCTCCTGTACCAGTGGCAGGTGAATCTGAGAAAGAACCAGAAGATGTTCCATCCATTGAACCTACTGAGATTGAAGCTGAACTACAGCCTGAAACTGAGGTTGGACCTCCTGTAACAGTGGAAAGTGAACCACCAAAAGAACCAGATGTTCCATCTATTGAACCTACTGAGATTGAAGCTGAACAGCAGTCTGAAACTGAGGTTGAACCACTTGAACAACCAGATGAAGGGGAATCTGAGAAAGAACCAGAAGATGTTCCACCCATTGAACATCCTGATATTGAAGCTGAACAGCCTGATGCACCGGATGAGGGCGAATCAGTGAAAGAACTAGAAGATGTTCCTTTAATTAAACCAATTGAGGTTGAAGCTGAACAGCAGCTTGAAACAGAGGTTGAACCTCCTGAGCCAAAGGAAGGTGAACCTCCAAAAGAACCAGAGGATGTTCCATCTACTGAACCTACTGAGATTGAAGCTGAACTACTGCCTGAAACAGAGGTTGGACCTCCTGTAACAGTGGAAAGTGAACCACCAAAAGAACCAGATGTTCCATCCATTGAACCTACCAAGATTGAAGCTGAACTACAGCCTGAAACTGATATTGAACTTCCTAAGCCAGAGGAAGGTGAACCTCCAAAAGAACCAGAAGATGTTCCATCCATTGAACGTACTGAGGTTGAAGCTGAACAGCAGCCTGAAACTGAGGTTGAACCAACTCTACAACCAGATGAAGGTGAATCTCAGAAAGAACCAGAAGATGTTCCATCCTTTGAACATCCTGTTATTGAAGCTGAACAGCCTGATGCACCAGATGATGGCGAATCAGTGAAAGAACCAGAAGATGTTCCTTTAATTGAACCAACTGAGGTTGAAGCTGAACAGCAGCCTGAAACAGAGGTTGAACCACTTGAACAACCAGATGAGGGTGAATCTGAGAAAGAACCAGAACATGTTCCATCCATTGAACATACAGAGGTTGAAGCTGAACAGCAGCCTGAAACAGATGTTGGACCTCCTGTAACAGTGGAAGGTGAATCACCAAAAGAACCAGAAGATGTTCAATCCATTGAACATACTGAGGTTGAAGCTGAACAGCAGCCTGAAACTGAGATTGAACCTCCACAGCAGCCTGAAACTGAGGTTGAACCACTTGAACAACCAGATGAACGTGAATCTGAGAAAGAACCAGGGGATGTTCCATCCATTGAACCTACTGAGATTGAAGCTGAACTACAGCCTGAAACTGAGGTTGAACTTCCTAAGCCAGAGGAAGGTGAACCTCCAAAAGAACCAGAAGATGTTCCATCCATTGAACAAACTGAAGTTGAAGCTGAACAGCAGCCTGAAACTGAGATTGAACCTCCACAGCAGCCTGAAACTGAGGTTGAACCACTTGAACAACCAGATGAAGGTAAATCTGAGAAAGAACCAGAGGATGTTCCATCCATTGAACCTACTGAGATTGAAGCTGAACTACAGCCTGAAACTGAGGTTGAACCTCCTAAGCCAGAGGAAGGTGAACCTCCAAAAGAACCAGAAGATGTTCCTTTAATTGAACAAACTGAAGTTGAAGCTGAACAGCAGCCTGAAACTGAGATTGAACCTCCACAGCAGCCTGAAACTGAGGTTGAACCACTTGAACAACCGGATGAAGGTGAATCTGAGAAAGAACCAGAAGATGTTCCACCCATTGAACATCCTGTTATTGAAGCTGAACAGCCTGATGCACCAGATGATGGCGAATCAGTGAAAGAACCAGAAGATGTTCCTTTAATTGAACCAACTGAGGTTGAAGCTGAACAGCAGCCTGAAACAGAGGTTGAACATCCTGTACAACCAGATGAGGGTGAATCTGTGAAAGAACCAGAAGATGTTCCATCCATTGAACATACTGAGATTGAAGCTGAACAGCAGCCTGAAACAGAGGTTGAACCTCCTAAGCCAGAGGAAGGTGAACCTCCAAAAGAACCAGAGGATGTTCCATCTACTGAACCTACTGAGATTGAAGCTGAACTACAGCCTGAAACTGAGGTTGAACCTCCTAAGCTAGAGGAAGGTGAACCTCCAAAAGAACCAGAGGATGTTCCATCTACTGAACCTACTGAGATTGAAGCTGAACAGCAGCCTGAAACAGAGGTTGAACCACCTGTAGAACAAAATGAGGATGAATCTGTGAAGGAACTAGATGTTCCAGTAATTGAACCTACTGAGATTGAAGCTGAACTACAGCCTGAAACTGAGGTTGAACCTGCTAAGCCAGAGGAAGGTGAACCTCCTGAAGAACCAGAAGATGTTCAATCTATTGAACCTACTGT